GCTTGCCAGGCAGGCACTTTGCCGCTGAGCTAAATCCCCAGCCCCAGATAAAATATCTTTATCTTGTGTGTGTGTATAATTTTTACCCCTTCCTTCTTTCTTTCCTTTCTCCTTTCCCTCACCCCAGTTTTTTTTTGTTTGTTTTTGTTTTTCTCCGGTACTGGGAACTGAACTCACGACCTTGTGCTTGTCAGGCAGGCGCTTTTGCCGCTGAGCTAAATCCCCAGCCCCCCTCATCCCAGTTGTTCTTTCACTTTGAGCGGTTTCTTTCCCTTTCACGGTATCTATTGTACCTTTCAGATTTTATTTATTCTTTCAGGTTCTTACACTAGGGAGACAATACGATGTCTACACATGTGGGTCTGATTTATTTTCACTTAGGAGTATGGTCTCTAGTTGCATCCATTTACCTATAAAAGTCTCGAGTTTATCTTTCTTTATAGCTGAGTAATACTCCATTGTATAAAAATACCACATCTTTTTTGTCCATTCATCAGCTGATGGGCGTTTGGGTTGTTTCCAAGATTTATGTATGACAAATTGTGCTGCTATAAACATGGGTGCACATATATCACTGTGGTATGATATTTTCAGTTCTTCTGGAAAAATATCCGGACAGGGAATAGCTGTGTTGAGTGAGACCTCTAATCTCAATTTTTTGAGGAATCTCCAAACTGATTTTCACTGGTTGTACCAGGCTCCACTCCCACCAACAGTGTTCTTTTTCCCCAAAGGCTCTCCAGCATTTGTTACTAGTTGATTTCTTGATGATAGCCATTCTTTGTGGGGTGAGATGGAATCTGTGTTGTTTTAACTTTATTTCTGGAATGACCAATGATGTTGAACATTTTTTCATATATTTATTTGCCATTTGTATTTCTTCGTCTGAGAAGTGTGTATTGATCTCAGATACCCATTTTTGGATTGGGTCTTTGAATTATGGGGGCCTTTTCTAATTCTTGAAGTGTTCTGAATAGAAGTCCTTTGTCTGAGGGACCATTGGCTAAAATTTTTTCCCAGTTTGTGGATTTTCTTTTTACTCTGTTGGTGATTTCTTTTGATGTGCAAAGACTTTTCAATAAGATGAGATCCCAGTTGTTGATTCCTTGAAGTATTTCCCATGCAGTTTGGCTTTTGTTCATGAACTCTCTACCACCGCTATGTCTTCAAGATTTCTATGTACTTTCTCTTTCAGTAGATTTAGTGTTTCTGTTTTAATGTTTAGATATTTGATCCATTTTGACTTTGGTTTAATGCACGGTGAGAGATATGGGTCTAGTTTTAGTCTTCGGCACATAGAGAGGCAGTGTTTCCAGCACCATTTATTAAAGAGGCTGTCTTTCTTCCAGTGAACATGTTTTGCCCTTTTGACAAAGATAAGGTGGCTGAGTGTGTTTGTAGTTGTGTCTGCATCTTCTAATCTGTTCCATTGATCTTCAGGTGTCTGTTCTTTTCCTATTACTGTCCTGATTTTTATCACAATAGTTAATTTCAAGTCTAGGATTGTGATGCCTCCTGCCTTGCCTTTGTTGCCCAGGATTGCTTTTTGCTATTCTAGGTCTCTTCTGGTTGCAGATAAATTTTAGGAATATTTTCTCTAGATCTGTGAGGTATATTAATGGGATTTTAATCGGTATTGCATTGAATTGATACAACAATTTCAGGAGTAGCCTTTTTTTTTTGGTTTTTGTTTTGTTTTTTTTTCCGGTACCAGGAATCGAACTCACAACCTTGCGCTTGCCAGGCAGGCGCTGTGCCGCTGAGCTAAATCCCCAGCCAGAGCAGTAGCCATTTTTATAGTGTTGATGCTTCCTATCCATGAGCAAGGAGTATCTTTCTGTTTTCTGAAATCCCCTGTGATTTCTTTTCTCCGAGTACTGTGATTTTCACTATATAGATTGTTTACTTCGTTAGATTGATTCTTAAGTTTTTGCGTTTTTTTTGGGGGGGGATGCTATTGTGAAAGATGTGGTTTCGCAAATTTGTGCCATTGATTTTTGAGTGCTGACTTTGTATCACGCTATGCTGCTGAATTTGGTTATTAAATCTATAAGTCTTTTGATGGAGTTTTTGGGGATGTCTGTGTAGAGTATCTTGTCATCTGTGAATAATAATAATTTCAATTCTTCCTTTCCTATCCTTATTCCTCTTATTTCTCTCTCTTGTCCAGTTGCTTTGGCTAATGTTTTAGAACGATATGCAATAGGTGTGGTGACAGTTGATATCCTTGTCTTGTTCCTGACTTTAAAATGAAAGCATTATTTAGTTTTTGTCCATTTAGTATGATGTTGGCTGTTGGTTTGTCATGGATGACTTTTATCAGATTGAGGTAAAGACCATCTGTTTCAATTTTCTATAAGATTTTTATCATGAATGAATATTGGACTTTATCAAAAGCTTTTTCTGCATCTGTTGAGATGATCATATGATTTTTGTCTTTTGCTCAGTTGATATGGTGTATTACATTTATTGATTTGCATATATCAAACCATCCCTGCATTCCTGGGATGAGTCCCACTTGGTCATGATGTATAATCTTCTTCATTGATTTGCTGCATTCTGTTTGCTAGTATTTTATTGAGATTTTTGCATCTATAGTCATTAGAGAGATTGGCCTGTAGTTCTCTTCTTTGGTTGGGTCTTTCTCTGGTTTTGGTATCCGAACAGTACTTGCCTCCAGGAATGTGTTAGGGAGAATTGCTTCCTTTTCAATTTCATTAACGAGTTTGAGAAGCATTGGTGTTAAATCTTTTCTCAGTTTCTTGTAGAATTCAGGACCATCAGGACCTGGGCTTTTCTTTGTTGGTAATTTCTTATTACATTTTCAATTTTGTTGACTGATTCTGGGCCGTTGAGTATTTTTATATCTTCTTGATTCAGCTTTGGTAATTCTTGTGTATCTAGGGATCTATCTATTTTCTCTGTGTTTTCTATCCTATGAGAGTAAAGATTTTTGAAGTAGGTATTGATGATCTTCTGGGTTTCTACAGGACCCGTAATGATTTTATTCTTTATTGCATGAATTTGAGTTTTTTCTTTCCTCTTTTTGGTAAGTTTGGCTAGGGGTTTCTCATTTTTATTTATTTCAAAAAACTAACTCTTTGATTCATTAATGTCCTTTTTTTATTCTTATTTCTTTATTTTTGATATAGTCGCACTAACTTAATTGCTAAGTTGCTTAGGTTGACTTGAACTTAGGATCCTCGTCCCACAGCCTTCCATTGTAATGCTGGGATTAGGGGCTGGGGATTTAGCT